CGTTCAAAAGCTATTGCAGCAGTACATATACAGGGAACTGCCAGAAATTCAAGCTGCTTTCACAAGAGGACGTGAAACCAGGGATAGCATTGCTGATGTCAGATGGATCCTGACTGAAAGCAGAGAATACTAGCAAGATGTTTACCGTTTTATTGATTATGCAAAGGCATTCGACTGTGTAAATCATAACAAATTATGGATAACATTACAAAGAACGTGAATTCCAGAACACTTAATTGTGCTCATGAGGGACCTGTACATAGATCAAGAGGCAGTCCTTTGAACAAGGGGATACTGCATGGTTTAAAATCAGGAAAGGTTACGTGTCAGTGTTGTATTTTTTCACCATATTTATTCAGTCTGTATGCTGAGCAAAATAATCTGAAAAGCTAGATTATATGAAGAAGAAGGTGGCATCAGGATTGGAGAAAGACTCATTAACAACCTGCGATATGCAGATGACACAGCCTTGTTTGCTGATAGTGAAGAGGATTTGAAGCACTTACTGATGAAGATCAAAGACCACAGCCCTCAGTATAGATCATACCTCAGTATAAAGAAGACAGAAATCCTCACAACTGAACCAATAAGCAACATCATGGTAAACAGAGAAAAGATTGAAGTTGTCAAGGATTTCATTTTACTTGCATCCACAATCAACGCCCATGGAAGCAGCAGTCAAGAAATCAGAAGATGCATTCATTGGGCAGATCTGCTGCAAAAGACTTCTTTGAAGTGTTTAAAAAAAAAAAAAAGGATGTCACTTTAAGGACTGAGGTGCACTTGAGTCAAGACATGGTGTTTTCAGTCACCTCATATGCATATGAAAGCTAGAAAATGAACAAGGAAAACCGAAGAAGAATTGATACCTTTGAGTAATGGTGCTCGCGAAGAATATTGAATATACCGTGGACTGCCGAAGAACAAACAAATCTATCTGGGAAGAAGTACAGCCATAATGCTCATTAGAAGCAAGGATGGCGAGACTTCCTTTCACATACTTTGGACATGTTGTCAGGAGGGACCAGTCCCTGGAGAAGGACATCATGTTGGTAAAGTCATCGAGAAAGAGGAAGACACTCAACGAGTTGGACTGATACAGTGGCTGCAACAGTGGGATCAAGCATAACAACGATTGTGAGGTTGGCACAAGACCAGGCAGTGTTTTGTTCTGTTGTACATAGAGTCAGTATGCGTTGGAACCGACTCGACAGCACCTAACAAGAAGAAGGAAGGTCAGTTAATATGACTATTGTTCAAATTTACACACGAACAAGTAATGCCAAAGATGAGGATGTTGAAGATTTTTACCAACTTCTGCAGTCTGAAATTGATCAAATGTGCAATCAAGATGCATTGATAATTACTGATGATTGAAATGTGAAAGTTGGAAAGGAAGAAGAAGGATTGGTAGTTGAAAAATATGGCCTTGGTGATAGAAACGGTGCCAGAGATCACATGATAGAATTTTGAAAGACCAACGACTCCTTCATTGCAAATACCTTTTTGCAAGAACATAAACAGTGACTATACACTTGGACTTCACCAGATGTAAAGCACAGGAATCAAATCTACATCTGTGGAAAGATGATGGAAAAGCTCAATATCATCTGTCAGAACAAGGCCAGGGGCCAGCTGCAGAACAGACCGTCAGTTGCTCATATGCAAGTTTAAGTTGAAGCTGTAGAAAATTAAAACAAGTCTACGAGAACCAAAATACAGACTTGAGTGTTTCCCGCCTGAATTTAGAGACCATCTCAAGAATATACTTCAATGCATTGAACACTAATGACCGAAGACTAGACAAGTTGTGGAATGACATCAGGGGTGTAATACACGAAGAAAGCAGAAGGTCATTAAAAAGACAGGAAAGAAAAGACCAAAATGGATGTCAGAAGAGACTCTCAAACTTGCTCTTGAACACAGAGTAGCTAAAGCAAAGGGAAGAAGTGAAGAAGGAATAGAGCTGAAAGAAGATTTCAAAGAGCTGCTCAAGAAAACAAAGTGTTGTAATGATATGGTTAAAGACCTGGAGTTAGAAAACCACAAGGGAAGAATATGCTTGGCATTTCTCAAGCTGAAAGAACTGAAGAAAAAAATCCAAGCCTCAAGTTGCAATATTGAAGGACTCTATGGGGAAAATATTGAATGACACAGGAAGCATTGAAGATGAAAGGAATACACAGTCACTGTACCAAAAAGAATTGGTCGACATACAGCAATTTCAGGAGATACGCATAAGATCAGGAACCAGTGGTACTGAAGGCATTGATGAAACAGAATGCTCCAGGAATCGATGAAATGCCAGTTGAGATGTTTTAGCAAACAGATGCAGCACTGGAAGTGCTCACTTTATGTCAAGAAATTTGGAAGACTGCATCCTGGTCAACCGACTGCAAGAGATCCATATTTGTGCTCTTTCGAAGAAAGGTGATCCAACAGGATGCAGAAATTATATCCCATTACTATCCCATGCAAGTAAAATTTTGAAGATCATTTAAAAGCGGTTGCAGCAGTACATCAACAGGGAACTGTCAGAGTTTCAGGCTGGATTCAGAAGAGGATATGGAAAGAGGGCTGTCATTACTGATGTCATATGGATCTTGGTTGAAAGCAGAGAATACCAGAAAAATGTTTACCTGTGTTTTATTGACTGTGCAGAGGCGTTTGTGTGGATCACAACAAATTATGGATAACATTGCAAAGCATAGGAATTCCCGAAAACTTGATTGTGCTCATGAGGAAACTGTACATAGACCGAGAGGCAGTCATTCAAACAGAACAAGGGGATACTGTGTGATTTAAAGTCAGGAAAGGTGTGCGTCAAGGTGTATCCTTTCACCATACTTATTCAGTCTGTATGCTGAGCAAATCCGAGAAGCTGGACTATATGAAGTAGAACGCATCATCAGGATTGGAGGAAGACTCGTTAAACTGCGATAGCAGATGACACAACCTTGCTTGCTGAAATTAAAGAGGACTCGAAGCACTTACTGATGAAGATCAAAGACCACAACCTTCAGTATGGATTGCACCTCAACGTAAAGAGCACAAAAATCCTCCCAACTGGACCAATAAGTAACATCATGATAAACGGAGAGAAGATTGAAGTTGTCAAGGATTTCATTTTACTTGGATCCATAATCAATGCGCTAGGAAGTAGCAGTCATGAAATCAAATGACATATTGCTTTGGGCCAGTCTGCTGCAAAGGACCTTTTTAAAATGTTAATAAGCAAAGATGTCACTCTGGAGACTAAGGTATGCCTGGCGTAAGCCGTGGTATTTTCAGTCGCATGTGAAAACTGGACAATGAATAGGGAAGACCAAGGGAGAATCGACGACTTTGAATGATGGTGTTGACGAAGAACACTGAGCATGCTGTGGACGGCCAGAAGAACTAACAAGTCTGCCTTCGAAGAAGTACAGCCAGAGTGCTCGTTGGAAGCGAGGATGGTGAGACTTTGTGTCAGGTACTTTTGACATGTCATCAGGAGGGACCAGTCCCTGGAGAAGGACATGATGCTTGGCAAAGTAGAGGGTCAGTGAAGAACAGAAAGACCCTCAACAAGATGGCTTGACACAGTCGCTGCAACAGTGGTCCTCAAACAGCAGGACCAGGCAGTGTTTCATTCTGTTGTACATACAGTTGCTATGTGTTGGAGCTGACGGCAGCACCTAACAACAAGAAGAAGTTATACCTGTAGATTTGTGTGTTTTTCCTTCTAGTTCTATCAGTTTCTGCTTCACGTGTGTTGAAGCTCTATTATTAGAAACGTAATTATTTAGGATTGTTATGTTCTTTGAGAATGGGCAAGTTTATCATTTCTGAAGTATTGCTCTTTATCCCCAATAATAGTCTTTGCTCTGAAATTTACTTTGTATAGTATTAATATAACTACTGCGCTCTTGAATGTCATACTTCTTATACTTGAATGTCAAGGTGGATAACCCGAGGATCTTGTTAAAATGCAGATTTTTGATTCAGCCATTCTGGGATGGAGCTTGAGATTCTACATGCTGAACAACTCCTAGTTTATGCTGGAAATAATAGGTCTAGAAATAAGGATTTGAATTAAAATTAGTGCAATTAGAGATTATAATAAAAGGAAGGATAACTCTTACAAGGGAGACACTGGTGTGAAGATCATGCTAGAGAGAGAACATCTCCATGAGACCAAGAAATGAAAGAATAGGAGGCAGCTTGGAGGGAAGCAGGGTGGAAAGAAGTGGGAACAGAGGCGGGAGACAGCTCCTTAGAGGAAACTTAGTGATTTTGTTATTTGTTGATCAATTAATATGAGGTTGAAAGACAAATTGTTCAGGAATCCTCCCAAATTTTTCAAAAGCTTAGGGACTCGTGGTGTCATGGTTTGAGAATGGTGGGAGAGGAGAAAAAAAAACTCAGGAGAAATGTTAATTGCAAAAACAACAGGAAAGATACTCTCGTTTTACAGTGCTAGAAATGAAATGAAAAAGTTTTTAAAAAGCAGAATAAAAACGGGTGCTGTCGAGTCGATTCTGACTCATAGTGAATAGAAGGGTTTTAACTTCACATAATTAAACTTGAATGAACCATGATGAGTTCATTGACAAAACTTGAAAAATGTGTTGTTCCTGAAAATTCACCCATGTTAATATCAACAGAGTGCGTGTGTTGATCTATAATGGACAAAGTTACATAGGTGAACTCACAACTTTCAACATTGGACCCCTGACTCCCAGGAGGAAATCAGGTTCAAGTTTTGCAGCTTGGCCGGGCCTGGTGCTTCTCATGCTCTGGGATAAGTAAATTCCTCCCTCTGTGATCTTGTTGCAGAAAGAAGAGGCCCATGGAGTTGCATGAAGAATGCGAGTGTGTGCTCTGGAGGCTGGAGCCTGTTCTGCCTTCAGTGCAAATGCCTCAGGGTGGAGCATGGCCCTGACCCTGGGAGGAAGCCAGAAACCTGCCACTCCCTGCTTCCTCAACACTCTTTCCTGCTCATCCTTTTTGCATTTCAGGTCTCAGGTGTGGTGCAGGGAGAACTGGGGACCTAGGGCAACCATCTCGCACATCCATAAATTGCAAGTCAGGATTTCAACAGCTCTGACTGCTGTGTGGACCAAACATTATTCATCTGCTTCCAAACTGCCCAGTGCTCTGCTTCCACTCCCATCCCTCTTCCTGACGTGGCTTCTTGTGCTTAGAGACAACGTTCCCTTAGATTTCTGGAAGCTGGAGAAAAAAATGGTGAGTTCTACAGAGAACTGGGTTATTCTTTCAGTATGTGGATGAGGCTTTTATATGAATTGGGGGATCAGCTGTGTGCTGCTGGACTGTGGTTCCTCAATGAAGAAAAAAGGTGGCAGAGGAGGTCAAGGGACTGAGCCTGGGAAGCATCCTGAGGCCCTGATCCGCTGTCACTAGGCCCTTCCTCTACACATATGTGGCTTTTGAAGTTTTGAATGCCTGGGGTCACCTTGCTTATGTGACTCTCAGAGCTAGCACCATGGAGCATTAAATCCCCACCCTGGACCTTGGTGTTCTGTGTTGAATGGCAGAGTCTCCTGACCAGAACCTAAAGATGGAGCAGCTTTAGCTCTGAAGGCTGAGCCCCGGCCTCCAGAGCCATCTTTGTCCCGTCTCTCTTAACAGTGTTCTTGACTCCCCCCAAGCCCTGGAGCATTTTCAATGCAGTTATAAAACTACAGCTCCCTCCTCACACTGTGTTAATGGTTAGAAAAGGGGAGATAGAGTTCACAGGTGAAGGCCCTGACCGTTTATGGGGTCTAGGTGGTGATGGTGCTCTCTTGACATCACCAGAGGTATGAAGCTGGGGACAGTGAGTCCAGCTGGATCCTGCGTGGGGTCTCCAGACCCCCCCTTTTTTTTCCTAGTGGGGAATGCTTTTGCCTTGAGGCTTTCAGGTGTGTGGAAAGCACGAATCCCCATTCTAGGTCCTTGTCCTCCCACCTATGCCTAGAGCTGGTATTTAATCCCAATAATTTTTTTACTATTCTCCATAGTCTTGATTTAGAATCTAAAATTAAACTGTTCTCCTTGGCTAGAGAAGTTCAGTATATGACGTATTTAAGTTCTTGGGTTTAGTTTCCTCTGTAAGAAAATTTCTAGATCATTTGTGTGTTTCTACTGAGAATTTTTCAACTTCATGGATATAAACTTTTCAAACACAGAGGAATGCCTGTTTTAACTAACATAAAAGTTACTCTAAAGCTTTCTTAAATCTTGAGAAGGTTCTTACAGACTCTTATTATATTTAACAACTCATGCCAGAACCTCTAATGCGTTAAATATTTTAGTCATTTTAGAAACATTCTCCTGGCTGATATAAAATGGATGTACAGACTCTGATCTTTCCTGGTTACTGTGTTTAGCAAGAGAGCGCTTATACTTTTGTGATTTGCATAGGTGTATTAGACTGTTTAATAACAATTGAGTCCTAAATCATTAAATTTTACAGTTTTATTATTATGAACGTGAATCCTAGTAAAAACACTTAATATTGTTTTATTTATGTTTAAAAGTACAGTATAGTTTACTGAAATCAAGCTTTTCCAAGAGGTAATAACTTCAAAGTTAGAAACTCAGTATGAACTTTAATAGTATACTTTATTTAGACTTGTTCCTATTCTTGTCCTCATCCAGCCCATCCTTCTTTCCCCAACATTTTTTAAATAACCAGCCTTATTGTTTTCTGAACTATCTCTAGTGTTTATGTAGAAGAAAGCAAATAGAAATTTTTTATTTCCCTTCATTACACAAAAGATAGTGTGGAATTTACAGTTACTTTTCAATGAATGATTGTCCTGGTCATCTTTTCATAGAAGTACATGTTGTTAGGTGCTGTTGAGTCGATTCCGACACATAGAGACCCTATGTACAACAGAATGAAATGCTCAATCCTGCACCATCCTCACAGTAATTGTTATGCTTGAGCGCATTGTTGCAGCCACCATGTCAATCCATCTCTCTGAGGTTCTTCCTCTTTTTAGCTGACGCTCTACCAAGCTTGATGTCCTTCTCGAGGGACAGATCCCTCCTGATAACATGTCCAAAGTATGTGAGACATAGTTTCGCCATCTTTGCTTCTAAGGAGCATTCTGGTTGCACTTTTTCCAAGACAGATTTGTTCGTTCTTTTGGCAGTCCATGTTATGTTCAATGTTCTTCACCAACACCATAATTCAAAGGCGTCAGCTCTTCTTTGGTCTTCCTTATTCATTGTCCAACGTTTGCATGCGTAAGAGGTAATTGAAAACACCATGGCTTGGGTTAGGCACACCTTAGTCTTCAAGGTGACATGTTTGCTTTTCAACACTTGAAAGGTCTTTTGCAGCAGATTTGCCCAGTGCAATTCGCCATTTGATTTCTTGACTACTGCTTCCATGGGTGTTGATTGTGAAATCCTTCAGTCTTTTCTCCTTTTATCATGATGTCACTTATTGGTCCAGTTGTGAAGATTTTTTTCTTCATGTTGGGGTGTAATCTATACTGAAGGCTGTCGTCTTTGATCTTCATCAGTAAGTGCTTCAAGTCCTATTCACTTTCAGCAGGTAAGATTTGTCATCTGCATTTTGCAGGTTGTTAATGAGTCTTCCTCCGATCCTGATGCAGCGTTTTTCCTCATATAATCTAGCTTCTTGGGTTATCTCCTCAGCATACAGATTGACTATGTATGGTGAAAGGATAATACTGTTCGATAATTTCCACGTTCTGTTGGATAGTCTTTCTTTGGAATGGGCACAAATATGAATCTCTTCCAATTGGTTGGCGAGGTAGCAGTCTTCCGTATTTCTTGGCATAGACCAGTGAGGCATTCCAGCAGTGCATCTGTTTGTTGAAACATCTAAATTGGTATTCAGTCAATTCTTGGAGCCTTGTTTTTCGCCAGTGCCTTCAGTGCAGCTTGGACCTCTTCCTTCAGCACCATCAGTTCTTGATCATATGCTACCTCCTGAAATGATTGAACATAGGCCAGTTCTTTTTGGCTCAGTGACTCTTTGTAGTCCTTCTACCTACTTTTGATGTTTCCTGCGTCATTCAGTATTTTGCCTGTAGAATCCTTCTGTATTCCAACCTTAGGCTTGAATTTTTTCTTCAGTTCTTTCAGCTTGAGAAATGCTGAGCGTGTTCTTCCCTTTTGGTTTTCTAACTCCAGATCTTTGCACATGTCGTTATAATACTCTACTTTGTCTTCTGGAGCCACTCTTTGAAATATTTTGTTCAAGCTCTTTTACTTCATCATTTCTTCTGTTTGCTTTAGCTACTCGACATTCAAGAGCAAGTTTCAGAGTCTCTTCTGACATCCATTTTGGTCTTTTCTTTCTTCCCTGTCTTTTTTAATGACCTCTTTCTTCGTTTATAATGTCCTTGATATCATTCCACAACTCGTCTTCACTCATCAGTGTTCAACGTGTTAAATCTGTTCTTGAGATAGTCTCTAAATTCAGATGGGATATACTCAAGGTCATACTTTGGCTCTCAAGGACTTGTTCTAATTTTCTTCAGTTTCAGCTTGAACTTACATATGGGCAGTTGATGGTCTGTTCCATAGTCAGCCTCTGGCCTTGTTCTGATTGATGATATTGAGCTTTTCCATCATCTCTTTCCACAGATGTAGCAGATTTGATTCTTGTGTTTTACGTCCTGTGAGGTCCACATGTATAGTCGCTGTTTATGTTGTTGGAGAAAGGTATTTGCAATGAAGACGTCACTGGTCTTGCAAAATTGTATCATGTGATCTCTGACATCGTTTCTATCACCAAGAACGTATTTTCCAACTACCAGTCCTCCTTTTTCCTTTATAACTTTTCCATTCCAATTACCAATAATTATCAATGTGTCCTGATTGTGTGTTCAGTGAATTTCAAACTACAGAAGTTGGTAAAAACCTTCAATTTCTTCATTTTTGGCCTTAGTAGTTGGTGCGTAAATTTGAAGAGTGGTATTAACTGGTTGTCCCTGTAAGCGGATGGATATTATCCTATCACTGATAGCATTGTACTTCAGGATAGATCTTGAAATATTCTTTTTGAAGATGAATTCAGTGCCATTCCTCTTCAAGTTGTCATTCCTGGCATAGTAGACCATATGATTTTCCAATTCAAAATGTCCAGTACCAGTCCATTTCAGCTCACTAATGCCTAGGATATCGATGTTTATGCCTTCCATTTCATTTTTGACGATTTCCAATTTTCCTAGATTCACACTTTGTCCATTCCATGTTCCGATTATTAATGGATGTTTGTGGCTGTTTCGTCTCATTTTGGATCGTGCCACATCAGCAAATGAAGGTCCCAAAATCTTGACTCCGTTCACGTCATTAAGGTCGACTCTACTTTGAGAAGGCAGCTCTTCCTCAGTCATCTTTTGAGTATCTTTCAACCTGACAATGTTCTGCTATTCATAAGGTTTTCACTGGCTAATTTTTTTCAGAAGTAGATCTCCAGGTCCTTCTTCCTAGTCCGTCTTAGTTTGGAACCTCACCTGCAACCTGTCCACCATGGGTGACCCTACTGGTATTTGAATACCAATTGCATAGCTTTCAGCATCACAGCAACACGTAAGCCCTCACAATACAACAAACTGACGCATGGTGGAAATAGACCTTAGTATTTATGGTCTCCCAGTGTGTCCCACATTGATCTCATCTCCTCCTGCTTGAAGATTGTTACTATCTGCATTTAGAAGTTAGTAATCTACCAATATTATTGCTGTTATTATAGCTTTATCCTTCAAGTCTTAATCCATAAACTCTGTATTGTTTAGTTTGGCTTCTTTTGAGCCTTCTATATATTCAGTTATTACTCTGGGCACTTCCATGACTTGTTCCCTCAGGATGCTTTTGAGTGTCATAAGTTGGTGTCTGTAGCTCTTGTCCATCCATATGCCTGTGTATGTATGTTGCCATTGTATGAATGGGCCACAATCTACCTAGCCATTGTAGAGCTTCCAGGATTTGGGTGGCTCAAGTGTAATTTTTGCTCTTGTGAGGATTTCTGCTCTTCTTTTTATTCTCTTTCCAGGCTCCATGTGCTCCTGCACGATAACTCCACAGTGAGGGAAAATGGCTGTGTTGTAGACCATGTTGTTGTTGTTACGTGCCGTCAATTCCGACTCAGCTATTTTATCCTAGTTTTTGGCTTGTCTTTTCATTCTTTTTAAATTTTTTTATTGTGCTTTTAATGAAGGTTTACAGAGCAAATTAGTTTCTCATTAAACAATACACAT